ACATATGTTTCATATGTTTGTTGTTGTTTGATTTATCATCTACGGGTTTATGTCGAATTAATTTGATGGCCTGCTCCCAGTTGGCTTGTTAGCTCAATTGGTAGAGCGCTGCACTAGTATCGCAGAGGTCAGTGGTTCGAATCCCGTACAGGCCTGAAATTTTTTTCAGGTCTGATTTTCACTATTGCTCAAATAGTGCTTTACTGCGAAGGATCGTGCACATAACCGCAGTTCATAACCGCATTTCATAACCGCAGTTCATACATATGTTTCATATGTTTGTTGTTGTTAGATTATTTTGTTGGCCGCGATAGCTGTTAATTTCATTGGTGTTTTCGTCTTTCGCGCACTCTTTATGCAATCCGTACGAAGTTCAGATGGTTTGTTTGACGAAATATTTCAAAGAGAGGAGCAACATAAACCAAATTGCCTGATTTCTTGCAGAGAGGGACATTCTTATTTCACAGAATGGATGACCTTGTTTGACTGGTTAGGCCTGCTTTTGATCCTGTGTATAATACTTCTCCGGTACATGGATCATAAAGCACAGTGGATGGTGTCATCTTTGGCCTTCTTGTTCAACTTCCTGAGGATATTTAAGTTTTCATGTGTGTCAAGGTAACTCCCACTAGATTAGTTTAGATTGATAGTTCGGATTTTGCTTAATGTGACTTAAAATTAAATCACCACTTACATCTAACCTAACTTTGTATCTTTCCTAGGACAACGGGATTATACACCCAAACCTTGGCCAAGATCATTTTACATGACGTTACAAGATCCATGGCAGTTTTTATTGTGACCTTTTTCTCCTTCTGTGGTGCTCTGTCTTTATCACTCTGTTACTCCGGATCAAGTGAAAACCAAGAACCTCGGTGCGTTTCTGTTGAGTATATCTCCTTTCAAAACTATGAAGCTGTCTTTGAAAACAAACAAACAGACAAACAAACAAAACAAAACAAAACAATGAAGACTGTGATCTTTTTGGTCAGAAAAATATTCGAGAATTTCCTCTGGAATTCGTTTGATCTGTGCCTTTACTGGCTAGATTTTGTATTTATTCAAACCTTTTTCGTTCTACACAAAAGCAATTTCTGTCCGCGGGAACTAAGATGGGGGATATAATGCGCACGAAGTGCTAAAACCCAACATACTAATTTTGATTTTTAATTTTTGCTTTTAGTGGTTTTGGAGACGTCTTGTTGAGCGCGTTTCGTGCACTGTCCGAGCAGTATCCAATGGCAAAAGATTACTCAACTTTCAAGTAAGTGGCACTATTGTTTTGAAGCTATTACTTCTCTGGCACATAGCGACTGCATCGACTTGAGTTTCAAAGCCAGTTCAAGAATAACAAGATCGGATATTAGGTCTTTCATAAGGAATTGGGATTTGCTTAGGCTTGCTGTAGTGGATGATAAGTCTCTTATGTATTCGTTTCGTGTAGATTAGTTACAGTTTTTGATAATTTCTTTCCTGCAGCTGGCTGTCAATTGTTTTGATGATGGCCTACATGGGGACAGTGACTGTAATTCTTCTCAACATTCTCATTGCACAAATGAGTACGACCTACATACAGGCCAAGAAAGTCGCTCGCCTGGAGTATGATGTGGATCGTATTCTACAGCTCACGCGCATGGAGAGATTTCCTTTTCTGGTAAGTAGGCATTAGGTAATCAGCAAGGAGTGTGAAGAAGTACACATTGGCTCTTGTCATTAAGACTACGTGCGATCACGCAAATGTACTACCCACTCGCAAAACTGAGTGTGCATAGAGAACGGACGAGGTTTTTACAGATGCTTTTCTCTCTGCAGAATTTACGCGTGAGGTATTACAAAGAGGGAGACTGGATCAGTGAAATAAAACTCGCAAAAGGTCGGTTGTGAAATAACGGAAACTAGTTATTTAGACAAACCATCTCATGGTATTGTCAGTTGAAAGTCAGCTGAGGAGTGGAGATTGGGGACAAAACAAATATGACGCTGCGACCGCATGGAGGAGTATGAGGGGCCGCTTACGTTACAAGCCTTCTTTTAATTAGCTGAATCTATGTAGCTATTTGAGAGAACAGTGTCTTCTAAGATTATTTTCAATTTTAATTTCCCCGTGGGGAGCAGAATAAATCATCATTTGAAATAAGGTTCTGATACCATCCGTTTTGTTTTTTAGAACTGCTTGAATTCAGTGAAGATCGCAATCCATGGGAGTCAGTAGAAGAGAAACTTAATGAGATAAGGTAAAAATGATTCCTGCATTGGCTACCCTTCTTACCATCAACCAAATTGGGAGCGCATGCGCTCGAATGTTGTAGAATTAAAAGAAAATTTATGACAGCGACCAATCAGAATGTGGATAAATTTTACGAGGAGCGATTCATACTCAAAGAAAAGCAAACAGTGTCCGAACTGCAGGAACACGAGAATGATGAAATCGCCGCTGGTGTCAGTTTAGGATCCGATTGGTTGGGGGAGTGTCACGAGTTCTTCTTGACCAATCAGAAAACATTGTAAAGCCAAACTGAGTCGTTACAATCCTGGATTGCTTTGGACACCTTACGCTCGCTAGTGATTCTACTTACTTACCACCCACCCCTACGCACCTTCCACTCCCCCAAAAACACAATTTTTTTAAGCTCTGAACTTTCCTCATTTTATGCTGCATTTCCAGGGATCTGATGAGAAAGATGGTCAAACAGATTAGGCCTGGACAAGAATAAACAAGTGCATCGCCACAACAAGAATATTATTCTGTACTGTTTTCTATGGAGTTTCTCCCGTCTTGCAGTTGTTTTTCAACAATGTTAGATGTTTTAAATATATTTTCAAAAGAAAGGAGAGTGATTTTTTTTAAAAGAAGTTTTAGCCAAATTCCGTAGGGGCTAGAACTAAACCTGTTATGGTTGAGACCAATCAGGGCAAATTTCCACTATCACTCAAAGCTAAAAATCAAAGAAAATAGAGGAAAACGTGTATAAAAAATTAGACTCACTTTTCCACAAATAGTGACAACAACCTAAGGCTACATACAGCTCCATTTCTGAGGACGATGCGTTACCAGATGAAGGAGATTAAGCCGGTTTGATATGAAGATTCAACAGCTCAAAGTTTGCCTCTTGAACATTGTTTCCTCTTCGTAGATGTTACATTTCGATAGTCTTCCGTAATCAGGCGTGCGTTTCTCCCAAGACCCGCAAAATTTCTCGTTTTGAAGTTTATCCGTTTAGACATGGCTTTCGTCAGTTAGTGATCGAGAAATATTACATGCGTAAAAAATGTAGTGCTGAGGTCAGTTGGCCTACATGCCTAAGCCACGCCTACGTCCTGTTAAGTTTTCAGTACCATTCTTTATTTTTGTACACGCTATCTTACTTCTTCAGCCTTTTTCAGACCTCGTTATTTTCACGCGGAGTTTCTTTGCAGAACTACATAGGATAGATAAGTGAAATTTGATATCCTTCGTCAGTTTCTGCCCTTAAATTAATATGTCGTTAAATAATGATCTCACCACGAGTGAGGTGTGCAGTGCTTTAACTATAAGCAGTATTTCATCGCTATGTAACCCCACGCTGAGCCAGACATTATGTTGTTTTGCGCTACCATGCAATTCATTATAGTAAACTTTTACTAGTTTAACTTTTAAACACTCACGTAGTATTGAGAAAAGTTGTATTCTACTTGTAGCATACCTCTGGTTTTGAAGGAGGTGTCTGATTACAAACAACTACAATTTCATTTTTACATCATGTCAAACTGAACAGTTTTTTTTTTTTTTTGCTTTTGTACGCGTTCGACAGTGAAAAGTGCTGACAACATTCTTTAAAAATTATTCAACTGAAAAAATGCTAAGGAAAGAAAACAGTTGGAATTTCATGGGGTTGATTCACGGCGGTATTACGAAGTTCTATCCGATTTTTTTCCTGTCCATGCTTTAATTCGGTGAAACTGTTTATGTCTAACACAGCTTCTAATATTCGTCTAATGCAATATTCAAACTGTTATAGCAACGAGCCTTTTTCAATATTCTCATTTTGTAAATGAAATATCCTCTTTCCATCGAGGCCATTTGGGATCCAATCATTCTTGGTTCGTTCTGAGAGGAAAACCTTAACCTGTTTGTTCGCGGGCTCTGTTTTCTGCGAACTCTTGCATAGCTTTGCCGTCAATTATCAACGGTTTCTTGCTGTTTGTTTTCAATGAAGGACGAAGCCTGGCTTGACCCGATCAGCGCTACGCATTCACTGTATTGGAGTTGCCTCCTAAAACTCGGTTTCAGTCCCAGGATGTTGATGACATTTAACAGGTCTGCTATAGTTCGCATGTCGCTTTCACCATAAAGGAGCAAGACGTTAACTTTTTCACTTTCGAAACTTCTTAAACTGTGGTAACGAAATTGTTCTCTTAGTCCCTAATTGAAGTCGAATGAAGGCAACTTGAAGCTGTTTGATTTAAGACCAATCCAACAAAGGAACACTTTTAGAAGCTAACATATACCGTAATCAGGTAAGTGAAATGTTTGTGAAATAGTAAGGTAATTTGTTATAATGCTTAGTTGAGCACTCAAGGGTGCAATAAAATAATAATATTAATAATTGTAATAATAATAATGATAGTAATAATAATATGATAGCAAAACTAATGCGAAAGACTGGCATCGTAAGACGTTTTTATTTTCTGAAGAAGGAACTATTTAATTTTTTTCAAGTTACTGAGAGAAACACGATAAACGATGCCGCCATGTTTCAATAACAGCAAATCCCGAGGCCGCTTATAGACTCAAACAAGATATTACAATATCTTGACTGAAAATTGTTTTGTCATTAACAATTTCGAAACTATTATGCTCCCGAATTGTATTTTGCCCTGTTTACGATGTGCAAGCGGGTGTTTAAAACAAAATTGGAATCACCAGTTGTTTGAGAATTCTTTTGAAGATCGATCTATTTTCCAAAACTCAATGTCAACGGGGGAACAGGGACATCGAATGACAAATACAGGTAGTCATTATCTGAAATATTTGCTATAGATGGTCGTTATCTAGAATGCCGCTGGTATATCTCAAAGTTAATTCAAAGTATCTATTTCTGTTATTTCCAGGCGAATTACTCTCCTCAATTTTAACTTGTTTTTTTCATTCGTTTGAATCTTTTTAAAAACGCCTTGCCAGTGTAAAATATCGTAGAATTTTCAGACGTACAAGTAAAAAAGAGTTGCTCAGAATTACCAGCCATTATGAATACAAGTTTTTTTTAAGAAATTCACTATATAAATTTCACATTCAAAAAGTGACAAAAGAGCATATTTTATCATATTTTAACCAAAGATAAAGCCAAATGCATTTAAGTACAAGTCTCTCTCTCAGATCTGAGTGAGCAGAAATGACTTCCCTCTGGAAACACATCCGCTGTGGTCAAACGTTACTCAGCTCTATTTTTTCCCCTTTTCTTTTCTTTTTAGAAAGGTGTTATATGAGACCTCCCCTTCTGTTGCATTACATAGATAAACGCACAACCATGACCAGTCTGAGAGAGACCTCATATTTGTAACTTAAAAGACATTTCGTTATAGAATGAGGAAGTTTTGAATAAAATATTCGTATTGAAGTTAGGATAAAATGAATGTTCAGCAAGTTTTAGGAGTTCCCGAGTATTTATCTATTCATTTCCAAGAGCAATTTACATTGTTTTGATCCCTTCAGCATTGGGATGTAACCGTCGCGATAAAAAAGGAGAATTTTTTAACCGCACAAGAAAATCGCAATTACAAGCTAAGAAATCCATCACCTGTTGTATATGACAGCTTACGTAACACCAAAACACGTACTTTTATCACATGAACCAGACGTAAAACTGAAATTAGATCCGATAAAGTCTAATAATCTAACTATTGCTTGTCGTTGTTAAAGACGATCACTATGAATTTCAAGGGAAAAAAATAGAGTAGGTAGAAAATAAAATTGTAAAGAATATGGTTTGAGAGCCAAATGTCCTGCCACAGTTATGTTACTGAAATTCTTTTGAAGACATGCGAAACGGAGTACAGAAAGCTGCAGAACTTCACGTCTTACAAACCTACCCAACTATTTCAAAATAAGTTCACATCTGTAAAAAATTTAAATTTTAATGATTGGGTTACAATTCAGTATATTCCGAAGTCCAGTAAAGCTTGGGTTAGAAAAGTGAAAGTTAGACGTGCTGGCTTGAATATCCTTTTAGAAAAATACAGTGAGTATTTTCTTTGCCTTGCCTCCAGTTTTTTAAATGCAAAAAAAAAAAAAAACTTGAAATATTGACAAACTTCGATCACCAATTTATTTCTGTTTCGTATCTCTTTCTCTTCAATAACGTACCCGTCGAGCGTTCTCAAAATAATAACCGTGAGTTTGTGAGTTATCTCACAATGTGTTGATATACGCGCAAAACTCGAGAACGATCTAATTCCATGGGCAGCAAAGTGCTTGTCTGATTGTCTGCTTCACTGCCTGTCTTACTTCTCTAATCTTCCAGCAGTAAAGAAATGGGTTTAACGTCGAGTTACAGTAGATGAGGCAACTGCTATTCCCCAACTGACGACGAGGTTCGATGAATATGATTTGCTATAAGTGATTACCATTTCCACTATGCTAAATGGCACGTAACAAACAACTAATGCTAACTGCACCTACAATGCACTGGACACTGCCTTTCTGTATCGTGCAACGTTTAGTGCATTTCGTTGACTCGGCTGTTGTTGAACAAGATCTCGTACTTGAAACGTGATGACGACTAACAGCGCGAAAAATCTTTGTGTGCGGTGCGATTGCGATCACTGGGCATGGAGTTTGGACGGTGGATGGAGGGAAGATTCCTTGTGAAGGACAGTTAGAATAAGAGAATTCCCAAGAAATGTTGTGAGGGAGAGGACAAGATTGAATGCTGACAAATAAATTGATTGTTGTTGTAATCCACCAACCAAAGAAGGGAAGCAAAAATGTCCAAATATTTGTTGCTTTCCACCTTGTGTCAAATTTTCAGTTGCGTTCATTTTTCAACCAAGCCTAGTAAACGGTCGCCTCATTTTCCCGCGGGCTTTCATTGCAGCAAAACATAATTCGTCTTATCAGCACCTGCCGAGTAATTAATACTAAAATCTACTTTCTTTACAAAGTTGCCTTAAAAACCTGACTCCATATCACTTATCTATCCTATTTAGTTATGCAAAGAAACTCCGCGCGCTAATAACGAGGTCTGAGAAAGACCAAAGAAGTTAACATAGCCTGTACAAAAATTGAGAATGACACTGAAAACTTAAGAGGACGTAGGCGTGGCAAAGCAAAGCAAACTTTATTTACACAGGGTAGCCCATTCAGCTCTAAGGCTGGTATCCATAGGGGCCCTGTATTGAAAATAATTTACATCAAATTTCTAGAATAGATATATATGTATATATAATGACTAAGATTTTACAACTACATTAACAGCCTAAAACTACAAAGCTAAAACACAATTAAAACATAACATAGTAAATAAAATATCAAAATTATCAAAATTACGGTAAAAGGAAATGTTTTGCTCGGCGACAGAACGTTTGAATGTTTTCACTCTTCACAATGTTTAAAGGAAGTTTATTAAAAATTTCTGCGCCAGTAAAAAGAAAGGTCCTTCTCCCAAAATTCTGTTTTACTTTTGGTAGGGATAGCCTCAGACTTTGCCTCGTGGAATAATTGTGAATATTCGAAAATCTGGTAA